ACAGAGAGGGAGTACACAAGAGTGCAAAAGTTTGCACAGATGCAAGTTCACTTTATCGGAAGTCTGAAGCCGAACTAAATCCAATCTATAGAGAGCACACGCTTCTGTGAGCTTGAGTTTGCTTCATCTGATGCTGTAAACTTGGGTTCACAAAAGCTTGTGATGGATGGATGGACAGATAGAGTATGTATGTGGGCATGTGTGCACATATAGATCTGATTTAGTTAGTCTATAAGGTGTGTATGTCATCTGCATTCTACCTCAACAGCCAGATAGTGGGCAATACCAATCACATTTCCAACACTGTGTGTGACATAAGGGATCAGGTAGCTCATTGCCTGCTCGCATGTCTCACAGCTGCCCATTGGAAGGGAAAGGAAAGAAAGATCTTCATGGTGACTTCCAGGTTTGTTGTGGGGTCGTTCTAGCTGCTTGGGACAATCTCTTTCTCTGGGTTTTCTCTCCATGTCCCAGGTGTCCATCGCCAGATCCTTGCTATATCGATAGGCTGGTTTGTTGGCTATTATGCAACCAGACGAGAAAACTACTACTACGCTTGCCGGGACAGAGCTCTGTACCAATACATAAAGCATCATCCGGAGGACTTTCAGCCGAAAGGTACAGTGGGTTGTTGCCTTAAAAAAGACCTTAACATCTTGTAGCACAGTAGTTAATATGGAAGAAATATTGGGAGAGTAGAGTCAAAACCCACTCTTCCATGCAAAGCCCCACTGGTAGCCAGCTGGCTGTTGGGTGGACAGTGTCTGTGATGGATTTGCAATGTGAAATGCAGTCGTGGCCAAGAAGGTTAGAACACAGAAGGGACCTTTCTTACTTATCAGATCTGCTGCCTTAGTGGCTTTACCTCATTTGCTTGCCTTGTTGACAGAATGAGTTGGGTCAGTCGTGGAGCCATCATGGCTGCAAAGGAGCAAGCCGAGGTGGAGATACAGAATCAGTTGGTCTTGTGCGTTCCACTAGGGCAGTGATCCTTGACTTTGCAAGGCCCTGGCACTCCATCATCAAGTTGCAGCAGGGGAGGTTTAAGTTGGATATTAGGAAAGACTTTCTCACTAGGAGGGTGGAGAAGCACTGGAACAAGTTACCTAGAGAGGTGTTTTTCCATCCTTGCAGGTTTTTAAGGCACATTTGGCAAAGCCCTGGCTGGGATGATCTATTTGAGGATGGTCCTGCTTTGAGCAGGGGGGGTTGGACTAGATGTGACCTCCCAAGGTCCCTTCCAACCCTTATTTACTAAGATTATCTCTCTGCTGCTATGAATGTGGTGGCCGTCCTGGCTGAGACCCACTGCTGGTGCTGCCTCCACTTACCCTGGTGCTGCTCAGCCAGGTGCTGCTGCCTTCAGGTGGAACTTCCCTGTGTACCTGCATCATCACCTGCTCAGGAAGAGCTGTGTCACGTGCATCTCCCCCTGCGCTGGGGCTCTGATCCTTCTGGGGCTTTGTGCAGCCCTTACTGGTCTGGCATCCCCTACACTCCTCCTAGAAACAGAAGGGGATGGGACAGTTCCACCCATGCCTGTTTCCAGAAGGAGGGTAGGGGACAGTGGACCAGGAAGTGTTGCACAGCATAAGGCAGCTTTGCAGTCTGCTTGAGACTGATTAGAGCCCTAATGCAGGGGGAACAGATCCTAGGCCGGGTGTCTTTACCTGGCTGCTGCCATGCCTTTGAGTGGGCCTTGTAGCACCCTGCTTCAGAACTACTGCACTAGTTTATAAATGCCTCCTCCAAGATGGGGGACCTCTTGTGCCAGGGATTGGCTAAAACAGTAAGATGGTCCCTCTTGCAAAGCTTTCAATATAAGCATTGGTAGGTTATCCAGTGTACATTGGGAGTATGTCATCCCTAGCATTTTCTAGGGTTAAGCATGCCATATGATGGATTCTGCCACTTCTTTTGGGAGACTGTTTCACAAGTCTACAAGTTTTGCCAGATTTTTATCAACTCACTCGAGCCCAAGAGAACTGTTGGAGACATTCAGAGGGCTAGCAGTGCTGGTATAGTGGAGACGTGGAGCCCATCTGGCTTTTCAGGGCTACTCCAATGGCATCTTTATCTTAGATTTTGTTCTGAAATTACTGAATGAGCGTGGGATCCCACAATGTCATTCCTGCAGAGTTCCACTTCACCTCAGCCATCTCCAAGAGCCACTGTCCTGCAATGCTTGAATTCATCCATCCTACCTGACTACTGTTAATTCTTGACTGCCCGGTTAATCTGTCGTCTAGGTTTGTGTAACATTTCTGTTGGTGCCATTTCCGTAATACTAATAACTCCAGAAGATGTTGTGAACTCTCCATCCTTGGAGGTTTTTAAGGCCTGGCTAGACAAAGCCTTGGCTGGGATGGTCCTGCTTTGAGCAGGGGGCTGGACTAGATGTGACTTCCTGAGGTCCTTCCCAACCCTAATTTTGTATGATTCTAATATTGTCATTCCACCCCGCCCCCATCCACAGCCCAGAATTGTAGACAGTGAAGTGAGGGCAACTTGAGCTGTAACCCAGAATCTAGTTGATAAAAACATCTTCTGTTGTGATGCTGCATGCCCCAGCAGAAAATTTTATTTCCAAGAATGGAAGCTTTTATATGTGATGGAGGGCTTCCAGCCAATGACTGACAGACCTTGAATCTTCCTTTTCCTGGAGAGGAATGAACGAAGTTAACTCTCCCAGATTTACTTCTTTTAACTTATCCTATTTCTTTTTAAAACCTGCTTCTTACACAGTTTACCTTTCCCTCCCATCCTTAACCAACCCCCTCTTCTGTTAACCAAGTTCATGGTAATTAGCCAGTCGGGCAGAAAAGAAAACTGCTTCCTTAGAGCTTATTTCATTTCCAGTCTGGATCAGAAGTCAATTGCAGACTGGTCCCTTTTCTCCCTTTGTCCTCTCCCTTTCTTCCAGTAATGGCCTGATTTAAAGCATGTGGAACTCAGGTTAGAAGTGGCAGACGTGAGCTGTTCTGCATTTGGGCATGGATCAGCAAGCTGGTTCAGTGACTGTTCAGGCATATTAATGTCCAGCTGAAGTAAGCAAAAGTAGGAAAGTTGTGACCCTGAAGTAGAATAGAATCTGGCTCACTGACACCTGGAAGAGAGATACTGCAAGCGACTGAATTTGAAAAAAATTGGGGGTGCACTAATAAAGATTTTTCTTGGCTGATACCAATTATTAACCAGCCATATCGGCCAATGCTGATCCAATAACTAACTTACAGGAATGCAGCCAGGCAGTGTGGAAAGCAGCTTCTTGGAGGTAAGTCTGTGGAGGAGAAGGAGCATGGGGGGAGCAGCCCCACTCCCTCCCTCCCTCACTGGAGGCCCCCACAGTGAAGGAGGGAGTGGGGGCTCAGGGAGCTGCCCAGCCAGGGCAGTGGAGCAGGATACAGCCAAGGGTGGCTCGTCCAGGGCATCAGCACCCCGGTGCTTAAAATTGGCAGCGGGTCACTTGAACTAAAGTTCATTGAGTTGTTGCTCCCACTGCTGCCAAGCAGGCAGGGGTTGCGTGGCCAGTGTGGGGCTACCAAGGGAAAGACAACAGAGCAGAGGGCCCCAAGCTCACAGTAGACAGCCTGCATCTTCCCCTTACACAAATTTGGGGAGCACATGACCCCCCCCCTTATGCCTCCCCTAGGGCATGCACGCAGCAGTGGGGAGCTGCCTCTCCCTGCTTCCCATCCCGTGCCCCCCCATGTCCCCTCCCTGCTTCCCACCCTGGCCCCAGGTCCCATTCACCATACTGGCTGGGCAGAGCCCCCAGCCCCTGCCCCACTCCCTTCCTTACCATGGGGGCCTTGATCTGTCTGTCCATCCGTGTTCCGTCCCGTTGTCGTGTCCTG